GGGCTCTGTGCTGACAGCTCAGAGCCGGGAGTCTGTTTCGGATTCTGTGTCTCCCTCTCTCTCTGCCCCTGCCCTGCTCACACTGTCTGTCTGTCTGTCTCCCTCTCTCAAAAATAAACATGGAAAAATTAAACAACTGATAACTTAAACCCTGCTGATAACTAATTAGATGCTTTGCCCAATTCCTTGGATTTAAGAGTCCAACAGCGGAGAGGCCTTCCCTACCAGCAGGCATCGCAACCCTAAGGTGGGAAAGCCACAGGAATGCTGGGGAGATAAATGTGGGAAGACAGAGGCCCTATTCGCCCTGCCCTGCTCCGGCCATGTTCCAGGTTCCCAGGCTCCTCCCCCCAGCTGCTGAGGGGGACCCTATAGCACCCCGGTCCCTGCCTCAGTCTGGGGGCCTGAGTGCCCATTTTTCTGCCTCATCTCCTGCTGCACTCTGCCATCACCCTGTGTTCCAGCCACCCCAGACCACAGGCAGTTCCCAGCTGGACTTGGCTCCCTGCCACAGACCTGTTTTTGACCTTGCTCACACGATGGAATGCCAGTGCCAGCGTTTTCCCTGGCAACCCTGCCTACTTCCCAGCTGGGTAAAAGTGAACTAGTTGCTTGACCCGCTAAAACGATCTTCTCCAAGGGGATATTAAAACCTTCCTCCTGGAATTGTTCTGCAGATCGGAGAGACTGCATATAGGTATGGGGCTTAGCGTGAAGAAACAGCTGAACAAATATTATTTAACAGTTAAAAGGCTCTACTGAGATGATCTCGTTCCTTCCCGGAATATAGGCTCCTTGAGAACAGGGAATGTGTATTTATCTTCTTGGCATCGCTAATGTCGATCATAACACATACCAGAAGGATGGACTTGCAAATACCCATGATTCAGAATCACATGAGGGTTTGCTTTCACTTGGTTGCAAAATATAGACTCCTCGGCTCCAGACCTATTGGGAACGGGGCCCTGGTTAGTGCAGAGTAGCCACTGAGTCAAAGGATCACCCTCTGTGATCTTTATCAGTACCTACCCTTCACCTCTAACATGGACAACTGATATTTGCTAAGTCATATGGAATGTGGCACCACGACGCTTCAAAACAAGTTGTGTCCTACCCTGAACTGGTTTCCTAGAGCGGCAGTGACAAACTCCCACAAATTGGATGACTGAGGACAACAGAAATCTGTTCCTCTAAAGCTCTGGAGGCTAGTAGTCCAGAAAGAAGGTGTTGGTAGGGTTGTGCTCTCTCGGAAGGCTCTAAAGGCAAACCTGTCCCGTGCCTTTCTCTTTGCTTCTGGTGTTACTGACACTCTTTGGCATTCCTTGGAGTGTAAACATGTCACTCCAATCTCTGCGTCTATAGTCACATGCTCTTCCGTCTCCTGCTTATGGGGATATGTGTGATGACAAGCAAGGTCCACCTTGACGATCCAAAATCTCTCCATTGTGATGTCCTTAACTGAATCACATCTGTGAGGGTTTGTTGTGGTTTTTTTTCTTGCTGTTTTATTTATTTTTTTGCCAGATGAGATAACATTCACAGGTTCCAGAAATTAGGATGTCTTCTGGGAGGGGCCACCACTCAGTGTACCACACACCCAAACCCCAGCAGACTAAGCGGAGGTCAGTTCGTAAGCTTCCCATGTGATTCCCGGCTGTGAAAACTACTGAGCTGGGCACTGACTATTGCTGAATGAACAAATGGCTTCCTCTACTGTGCCAACTCCCCTCTCCTCCATCTCTTTCACTTTAGCTATAGCCCTCACAAGGAGAGACCTTTCTAGAATATTCCATACCTAAAGAAGGGGGGGGTGTGTGTGAAAGTTTTTGGAGTTCCTGACTCCTAAAATGCAATGGGCCACAGACACCTCCCATCATTTAGCTCTTCCATCATGGACCTCTCTGCTCATTGAGTTCTCTTTCCTTTGCAGTGCAAGTTTCTTCTGGGGAGGTGGGGGTGGGCAGACGGCTCCCTGGGCTGCCCAGTTTCCCCCTTGCCCTAGAAATGCTTGTGCAATACAGAACAGACTCGCCAGGAAAAACTCGTGACTCACCCCTAGTTTACGATTTGATCAAGAGACTAAGACTGCAGAAATATCTTAGCCCAAGGCCACTATGGGACTCCTGACTCCAGGCACAACATCGCAGGAAGCAACCCGAGAGGAGCGACATCCTTCTCAGGGCTTCTCCCAGCGGGGCTTCTGCTGTGGGATAACACACTGTGCTGGCAGATGTTTAACAAACAGTTCTCCAGGGGTAAAAGCCTTGGATGTGTAGCTTTACCTATTCCTGAGACATAACAGTCCCATCGCGGTCAAGTTCAAGCTGACAGCATGACGTCACCAAGAGACAAGCTCGTTCTCACCAGCCAACTCCCAGACACTGACCTATAGAAAAACCACTCTTCTCTCAGGGAAGATTTGCTCGCCCAAGAACTGGACAGGGCAGCCTTTGGAGAGTAATTACAGATGGTTTCCTAATTTCAGGGACCAAATGCTACTACTAGGAACAAGTGTTTAAAATAAACACAAATCTTTACAGTCCCTACCCAACAAGAAAGTTCTAGAAACAACTCTACCTCCTCCTCTGTCATCGAAATTTATTTCTCCATCTTTTTTTTTTTTTTTTTTAAACGAATTCATCTAACATTGGGGCACCTGGGTGGCTCAGTTGGTTGGGTTGAGTGTCCAACTTTGGCTCAGGTCATGATCTCATGGTTCGTGAGTTCGAGCCCACTGTCAGTGCAGAGCCCCTTTCCAATCTTCTGTCCCCGCTATCTGCCCCTCCCCCGCTCACACGGTCTCTCCATCTCAAAAATAAACTTTAAAAAAAGTTTATCTAACATTGACTCCGTGATAAACACTGTTCCAAGTGCACTACATACCATGACTCAATTTACCCTCACAACAGGCCTAGATGGCAAGTACTTTAAAGATCTGTTTCAACAGATGAGCTCATTGAAGCACTGTGAGGTTAAGTAAACATTCCTAAAGTCACAAAGCCCTGGGGCGCCTGGGAGGCTCAGAAGGTTAAATGTTGGACTTCACCTCAGGTCATGATCTCATAGTTCATGGGTTCGAGCCCCAAGGTGGGCTCTGTGCTGACAGCTCAGAGCCTGGAGCCTGCTTCAGATTCTTTGTCTCTCCTTCTCTCTCTGCCCCTCCTCTGCTTGACCTCCGTCTCTCTCTCAAAAGTAAATAAACACTTAAAAAGTTAACTTGAAAACTTTAAGAAGTCACACAGCCCTGAACTGTCTGCAATTTCCAAGAAAGTGTAGCAGAATAAATGACAGTCTACCAACCCAGGAACTCCTATGTTTTAGATATAGATCTGTGAAAAAATAAGCTGCATTATTTATATATATGTAATTGTAAACTGAACCTAATAAACACATAAATACACCAGTAAAATTTTTCACAATGATCGGTCTTGGGGATAAGAGCACTTTGTCTCCTCACATTCATCTTCAGTAAAGAAGCTCAAATCTCTTTGCAATTCTCAGTTAATTCCAAATCAATATTCCTCAGAGGCTATACATCACATTTATGGTCTGTTTTACGGTCATTTTATTGCTGTTATTAGTAATGAAAATGAGAATATTATGCAACACAAAACATGTCACGTAGAAACCAGAAAGAGACATGTTCGTTGTTCGAAGATTTACAACAAAAACTAAATTTCTAACAAATGAGCACTTCATTAATTATAACAAGACCTCAAATGTATAAAGCATTTTATGTTTAAAAGTTTTTCATGTGTCGTCAATATGGCACATGGAATGTAATCTGCAGCCAGTCGGCCCTGAATTCAAATTTCTGGTTTCTGCTCTTAATACTGTTCTGTGTATAATTCTTAACTGTTTAATTTTATTTGGAATAAGTCCGATTCATATGATTGAAATTCAAAAGCTACAAAGATTTCCAGAAAAATGTTACCAACTCAGTACCCCCGCCCAGCAACCTACCTCCTTTCCTTGGAGGTTAAAAAAAAAATAATAATTCACTTTTTGATATCCTTCCAGGGACATCTTACGCATATATGTTACAAGCAATCGGCACACTTGTGCCATTTTATACCCATGTTAGCATTCCACACTCACGGAAAGTCTGATCTGGTTTCCTCCCCGGGAAAAGGAAGGTGGGGAAGATTACATAAGGGAATTAGGAAAACACCTAGCCATAGTGTGGCCTGGAAGCAGCCCGCAATAATTTTCCTTCCCCTACCCTTAAAAATCCTCTGAGAGGCGCCTGGGTGGCTTAGTCGGTTAAGCGTCCGACTTTCGCTTAGGTCATGATCTCGCGGTTCGTGGGTTCGAGCCCCGCGTCGGGCTCTGTGCTGACTGCCAGCTCGGAGCCTGGAGCCTGTTTCAGTCTGTGACTCCCTCTCTCTCTGACCCTCCCCTGCTCACGCTCTCTCTCTCTCCTAGAAATAAATAAAAACCTTAAAAAAAAAAAAAAAAAGCCTGTGAGTTCAGGGGTCCTTAGCATGCCTCACACTCACTGCTTGCTAATCACAGACTGTCTGCTACCTCCCCCAGTTTCCAATTTAGGAGGATGGGTGCAGGGCCCAGCAAGTGCATCTCTAACCCTCTCCGAAGCTGCAGGAGCTGCTGATCAGGGGTCCCTTGGGAGCCTCCCGGCAGAGAGGGAACTCAGACGCCTGTGATTACAAGTTCTGCCACTGGCGCAAGTCATTCTCTGGCCTTCACTGCTATTTAACGGAATAACTCCCATCGCAAAGGCTGCTTCCAGGCTACAGCAGATGCAGCACGTGCACGGCCTACATTAGCACACGCTCACGAAAGGAAGCTCGAAAGAGACGCGGGGCAGCCGGGAGGGCGGGGATCTCCCGGGGCCCGCGAGCCGGAGCCCCCACCGCGGGGACAGGCGGGGTCTGGGGCAGCCCCATCCTAACTCCGGGGTGGGGGCTCCTGCTTCAACGCCTTCAGGTGCACCGAGCACCGCGTACCCAAACCCCTCCATGCGACTGAACGGCGCTTACGGTTCAAACAGCGTGCCAGCAAGGGGGCCGGTGACCCGGTGGAACCCAAGCGCCACGTGCGCGCACAGGACGCGGCGCCGCCGGCAGCCCCGCCCACACACGCCCAGCCGCCCTCGGGACTGGCAGTGCGCGCGCGCGCGGACGTGAGACCGGCAAGGGAGGCAATGGCGGCGGGGGCGGGCGGGGCCGGGAGCGGCCGCCCGCCAGGGGGCAGTCGCGCGTCTGCGGGCCGCGGCCGGCTGGAACCGGTCTGGCCGGAAGTGGGGGCGGCACCCTGGCTTCCGCAGCGACGTGCCACGTGCGCAGCCGGGAGGAACTGGAGAAAACAACAAGATGGCGGCGGCGCTGGGGGGCGGGGTCTGCCGGGCGCCCCTGGTTTCTCGGGTCCCTTTAAAGGGCGTTGGCGTTCGTGGGAGAGGGCGGCCGTGTGGAGGAGGGCGCGAGGGAGCGTTCTGTCCCCTTGTCAGGCAGCGTTTGGCTTGTCTGTTCTGCGCCGGGGGGCGAGCAGTCGCGCCAGGCTGTCAGGCCCGGGCGTCCCCCAAGGTCACTGCGGCGCACTCGCATGCAGCCGCTGCCCTGCTTCCCAGCCACTATCCCGGCTGTTTTTCTGTGGGGTTTTTGGGCTTTTGGCTTTGGGGCTTGTTGGATTGTTTTGGTTTTGTTCCTGCGTTTGCTGTTCCCTACGAACTAGAACAGCAGAAACGCCTTTCTCGGGGCGTTTTCTTCCTGAGGGCGAGGTTAGGGGCGGCGGATCGAGCCGGGCGAGTCCAAGTTGGCTCCAAATGCAGTCCCTCCTCTCTTTCCAGCAGTTTTGATTACGTTTCCTGCGTTTGTTCAGAGTTAGAACTGCCTCTCTCCGGGGGTGGGGGCCCTCCGCGCTCCAGGCTTTCGAGTGGCCTCCCCGCCCGGGCCGAGTGTGGGAGGAATGAGTGTGCCCATTGTGTAACGCGGGAGCTGCCCTGCCCCCCGAATGAATGTGTGGCAGAGGCCGAAGCTCTTCTCCACCGTCCAGCCCGGTCATGTTTGCAGAAAGAGAAATGTAGATGTGGGTGGATGTGTATTAACACACTGCAGGAACGACGAACGAAGGCGAAGTGGCTTAGTGTTCATGGCTTTTCGAGAAAGGCCTGCAGCTTCCCTTTTCCTGTGCGTGGATCTGGAGTTGGAAGACCGAGCCATTGAGCCTCTTTCTGGACAGTAGCCCCCGGCTCGATTTTCCTTCCACGCCGTTTTAGTTTACATGAGATTGAGACGCGAGAGAGCCAGTCTGGGTAAAAATAACACAAGCCGTGCCGCTTGTGATGTTATTTTTAGAATAAAGGAGAGGTTTGTCCTCCGTTGTATTTATAAATGTGTCCCCTTATCTGCGTTTAGATGCTCTCCTTGTAATTTGTGAGGTCCTTTAGCAAGTCTCTGAAATGATGTGACTGGGGGAGGAGGGCGAGGTTGTTTGCTTTTCAATAATAAAACTTGCCTCCCAAAGGCTTGGGAGGTTTAATTAGTAAAAATTTCTGAATGTACCTCGAATCAGGGCACGCTACAGTGACAAAGCTCAGGAAAGACGTTACTTTGTTTACAAAGGAGCCCTTGTGGTTTCCTCGGTCTTGTGCTGTGACCAAAACTGCGTCGCTATTAAGTGACAGACTAGAAACGGCATAATGTGGTCAAGAGGGAAAGAAGAAAGCTCGAGGCCTTAATGAAGGCTTAAATGCGGATTTCTGACCCAAGCAAAGGTTTGAAAGAATTTCCCTTCATGCCCTCCTTTTTGTATCGATGCCTTCTAAGACTTCGCTGCAAGCTCTGCCATCATTTTCCAAAAAACGGCTGGGCTGTTTCCAAAGGATTCTTTTCACCTGAAGGGGTTAAGGACCCTCTCTCCCTTCAGCCTGGGAAAAGAATGCAACTTCTTTAATAAGCATGTCCTCAAAAGGAGCCTGCCCCATTTAGTCTTTGTATTTTGCAGTGATTACCACCTTTTTTGGTCTCCTTTTGTGCACATGATGCAGACCTTGGGCAACTTTTTTCTGCAAAAAGCACTGAGCACAAGAATTAGTATCCTTAGGCCTTAAGTCCTTTGCCTTCAATAATTTCATTAGCACTGCCCTCCTGTTAAAAGGAGAAAATGGACTTTAAATTTTAGAATAAAATGTTCTCGCAAATTTGATTTTTTTAACTGAAAAAAAAAGAAAAAACTAAAAATCTATACTCCAGTAATTCAGAGATGCTTCTTCAAGACATAAATTTAAGTTTCTTTTAGGGGGATTATGTCGTGTGTACAATTTGGTGCCTTTACTTTTAAGTATATATTGCTTTAGTTTATGTTACTAAATTATGCTCAATAGAAAATCTGAAAAGGACAGAAAAATAGAGAAGAAAATCACCCAGAATGCCACTCTCAAGGTCTAACCACTGTTAAACAAATAGTCTGTATTTGTCTTAAAGGAATACCATCCCTAGTTTTGCAACTCGTGGTTTGTATTGAGCCGTGTGTAAGGTAGATTTTCTTAGTCGAAAAAGAATGTTAAAGATTTTTTAAAGCCTACATAATATCAGATGAACTAACCATTAACCACTTACTACTGAACACCACATTTGTTTGCCACTTTTTGCTCTTGTAAGTAATATTGACACAAATACTTATGTACAAAAAGCTTTTCAGATTTTGAAAAATAAGGCTTACAATGAATCTGAGCTTTTTAAGGTTTGTTGGTACATATTTGCCTCCGCAAAGTAGTGAGTTAATGGCATTCCATCTTGAGCCTTCTAATTACTGTGCGACAGCCTGCCACCTGAGGTCAGATCCCACCTCTTGTGCTTTCACTGCTCTCGTCTTGATTTTTTTGTTTGGATTATAAATCATTTATTCTTGGCACATTGTTTTTGATATGGATGCCTGTCTAATATGTACCAGACGTGGGTGTTTAAGTTAAACATTTAAAAAGCGTCCTTTCGCTGCTACAAATACAGAAACCTCTTTTCCTTGGAACTACTTAATTTCTGTGTATAAATGTGACGCAAAAAGAAATTACTTGCCGAAGTCTTCTTTCCAGTGTGAGGCAAGTATATCAACTTTGTAGTTCTCATTATAAAATAAAGAACTAAGGGACGATGGGGTTTTAGTTTAAAGGCCTCTAACCATCGTATGTCGTATTTTATTGGTTGTTTCCGGTGGTTTTGTGGTGGCTGTATATACTGCTCAACCTTTAACCACGGGGACAGGAAAAACACCTCTGTGGGAAGCAAGGTGACCCAGCCCGGTACTTCTATGGTTTCTGTAGCTCAGTGTGATAATACGGGGATACTCCTTACCAGGAAACCATCCTGGGAGCGCCTGGGTGGCTCGGTTGGTTAAGCGTCCGACCTTGATTTTGGCTCAGGTCATGATCTCACGGTTCCTGAGATAGATCCCCACATCCAGCTGTGTGCTGAGTGTGGTATCTACTTGGGATTCTCTCTCTCCCACTCGCTCTCTGCCCCTTCCCCACAGGGATGTGCACACCCTCTCTCTCAAAATAAACTTTATTTAAAAAAAAAAACTTTATATTTAAAAAAATAAACTTTAAAAAGAAAATTATTCTGTGTAGACTATTCTTCCAAAATTAACCTGTTTGCCACATTCTTCTCTCTAAAAATCCCTTAGAGAATGCCAAGAAGTTATAAAGGAATTAGGCAAATGTATGCATAATGGATGCGTATCAAGCAGCAGTCATTCCGTGGTCACGTCAAAATTACCTCCGAGAATGTGACAGCTCTTTCCTGGGGCAGTATCCATTCTATTCATCCCTGTACTTTACACAACCCTAATCTCTCTTTAAATGAAGTCCTAATTACTAAACTTGAAATAAGATCCATTGCACTAGAATAAAGAACACAGTTTAAGAATATTTATTCCAACAGATTTGGGATTTGAAGAGCTACCATACATGGCAATCATTATTATTCTAGAAATCTTCCTTTTGGTGACAGTACCCCAGTGCAGAGGCTTATCTCTACTTAAGGACTACTGTTTTTTGAGACCAGCTACTCAAGAGTCTGATTCAACAGCAATAAACATGCGAAGTTTTTTTTTATTATACCCGCACTATGTATCTGAATTTAAAACCTGTTATCAGAGGTTTGTTCACTCCAACCCTTTTAAAAACAGCTCTAGATTTTTTTCATTTTACCATTTGTGTTTCATAGATACCCAAGACAGCAAATGGAGGGTTCTACTTTAATCCATCTTCTGCCTGCAGTCCATTCCTCATTCTCCTTTGACCAGTTGCTTCCTAACCAGTCTATAGCTGTCCTGCTTAGTGCCCTGAGCTGTTTGCTGTCCCTTGTACCCCTCTTCCCTTTAAATATGCCCATAGCTCTTTCATCTGCCTGGCGAACTCCTACTTACTCATCTAAACTCAAATCTTTTTTTTAATTAAAAAAAATTTTTTTAATGCTTTATGTATTTCTGAGAGAGAGAGAGAGAGACAGCATGAGCAGGGAAGGGTCAGAGAGAGAGGGAGATACAGAACTTGAAACCGGCTCCAGGCTCTGAGCCGTCTGTCAGCACAGAGCCCGACGCGGGGCTCGAACTCACGAACCCTGAAATCATGACCTGAGCCAAAGTTGGACGCTTAACTGACTGAGCCACCCAGACGCCCCCAAAACTCAAACCTTAATATAGGAGGATGAAATTATAAACCGATGTAACTCCTTTGAAGGGAAATTTTTACAAAAACCATCCACATTTAAATGCAACAACTTGTGGACCCAGGAAGTCTATTTCTATGAATGCATCCTATAGGTAGCCTCAACATTGCATAAACAAGGGGGGATGTATATAAAAATACTATTAGTTATAGCAAAAGATTGTAAAATCCTACATATCCAATAGAGCACTAGTATAAAAATTACGATTTATCTGTATAATGAAATAACTACAAAGATATTAAAAAGAAATGAGTAGATCCATAAGTACTGATTTCCAAAATCTATTGTTACATGAAAAAAATCGAGATAGAGGGGCGCCTGGGTGGCTCAGTTGGATGGGCATCCAACTTCAGCTCAGGTCATGATCTTGCAGTTCATGAGTTTGAGCCCTGCATCAGGCTTGACAGCTGGCTCAGAGCCTGGAGCCTGCTTGGGATTCTGTGTCTCCCTCTCTCTCTGACCCTCACCTGATCACACTCTGTCTCTCTTTCTGTCTCAAAAAATAAATAAACATTTAAAAAATTGAAATATAAAAAGCTGAGTAGAAGACACCTCTACTTGTCTAAAAAGAAGAGAGAGGTGGTACATTTACGTTACATTTATATTAATGTAATGGTGGTGGTCGCCTCTGATAGGCAGTCAAAGGTCTGGGTGAGGAAAGACTTTCTTTTCACTATATATACTTTTTGTTCCATTGGGAAAATGACTAACCATTTCTATAAAATACTACATTTTATTTCTTTAAATTAAAAAAAAAATACCTTAATTCCAAGCATCTGTTCTTTTTGGGAAGCTTTGGCTGGCCCTCTCCCTCTCTTCCCAGCCAATTCCTCCTTCCTACTTCTGATTTGCCCAGGTGTTTTGAATGTAATTCACCCAATTGTATTGAACATAACTGCCTATGAGACTGCTTTCCCTAGAAAACCAAGATCATGTAGAAGGTAGGATACTGTATTCATTTTTTTAAAAGTTTATTCATTTAGAGAGAGAGAGAAAATCCCAAGCAGGCTCTGAGCTGTCAGTGCAGAGCCCAATGTGAAGGTAAAACTCACGTCACAAACCATGAGATCATGACCTGATCTGAAGTCTGATGCTTAACCGACTGAGCCACGCAGGCGCCCCAAAATCGTATTGTTTTTTTTAAGCTCCAAAGATCCAGCCTCAGATGATACACATGCACACACACTTTTTTTTTTTTTTTAAGTGAATTGAAAAAGTCTAGCATGGGTCTCTCCCACCACTGCCCTGATCCTATTCTGGTTGTCCAAAGGAGAGTTTGACGTCTTGTACACTCACCTTAATAATCTGGCCCCACCCTGTATTATCAGACATTTCCAGCGAACTCTGTCGTAGCTCCAGCTACACCTGACTCTCACGGCTTTTTTCCATTGTTGTTGGTTTGTCTTGTTTGATTTTTTTAAAAAACCAGTCTGTTCACACTCCTTGCCTTGAGGATTCCTCTGCGAATGTCCTTTTCTTAGCTGGCTCAGTCTCCTTCAAAGTCCCTTCTTCTTCGTGTTGGTGATACACTGGTGAGCACAGCCATCTTCCAAAAGCACTTCCCCTTTGAAACCTGGCTGTTTTTCCCCTGCCTTAGTCAGATAAACTTGATCAAACTTGTGATCACTAGTCACTGACGGCAATTGTCAGTTCACATGTTAGTTCACTTGAGAAAAATAAGGACTCTTCCAAGACAGGGATTTTTACTTTGCCTTATCTTACTCATCCTGGAATTTATGCCCGATGCATGGAAAGACTCAATAAATGTTGCATGAATAGATGAATGAACAAGGTAATAGTAAGTGCTCATGATATTTTGATAGGCTGCATGTGATAGCCATGTGTTATTTATTTGCGGCAACATAGTTGTAGGCTGTGTGTGTCATATTTCACACCTAAGCCTGGCATTCTGAACCGGGAGCTTTCAGTGGTTGTTACCACTCCAATGCAGGTGGAGAATCCTAATTAAACGTGTCCTTTTTAGTTCCCTTAAAGTAGGATTGCCAGGGGCACCTGGCTGGCTCAGTCAGTTAATTGGCTGACTCTTGGTTTTGGCTCAGGTTGTGATCTCACAGTTTAATGAGTTTGAACCCCACATCAGGCTCTGTGCCGACAGAGTGTGGAGCCTGCTTGGGATTCTCTCTCTCTCTGCCCCTCTCCCGCTCCCGCTGTGTCTCTCTCAAAATAAATAAATAAATAAATTGAGTTTTTAAAAAGTAGGATTGCCAGATTTAACAAATAAAAAGGCAAGTTGCCCAGTTAAATTTGAATTTCCAGGAAACAACAATATTTTAGTGTAATTATGTCCCAAAATTCCTTCTACTAAAAGAACTATTCATTATTCATCAGAAATTCAAATGTGACTGGATATTCTGTATTTTATCTGGCAACCCTACCACAAAGTACGAATTCCCAAATCCTGTCTTCCTGTGTTCAGACCCAGTTGATTCTTCTTCGAGAGCTGTATGAACTATGCAACCTTATCATATTTGTTAAGTAAATAAACAATCCAAATTTCCCAACTCGCTTACTAATTTTATTTTACAAATTTAAAAACTTTGCTTCCTTCCCAAACTCCTTTATTTTAAACCATCAGAGTTAGATTCTAATTTATAGTAATTTAGACTCTTAGCCACTTAATAGTAGAATTGGATCAGAGAGGGAAAATCCATGTGACTCTTTGCATTTGAACTTTCTGTATATTTTGTTTCCGTCTCTATACGGAGATTATGTCCCAGCACAGTAGGGCATCAGGTCTGCTCTCTGAGGTTCAAACTCTTTAGCAACCTCCTCAAAGAGCTGTTCAGGTTGTAAAATGCCCCTTCCCTGTGGAGGAAGGCTAGAGCCACACTACCAAGGGCTAGCACCTCCACTGGCCAGCTCAGCAACCATTCAGTATTATTACAGACCAGGCTTTCCATGACAAGACTGTTTAAAAAGTTAGAAACAGCATCTCATCTGACATGGGCATATTCAGATTTCAGTCTCTTAGCCCTGGTAAATTATCTCGGTCAAAAATGCAGACCCCAGCAGCACCTGCACATATTTTTGTTTCAAAGGAACATTTCCCCTGCAGCTTGGAAGTGACAACTCAACACCACACACCTTTCTGTTACATGTAATTTTCCCCGTGGTTCTATAAAGTAAGATAATGTCACAAACGTCCTCTCTTCTTTAGGATCCCAACTTGAAAATTACAGGCTATATATACATTGTCCTACGTGTCTAAACTCATGAAAAAAAAAATGCTTAGTGCTCAAATATCACAGCTGTGACTTCTGAAAGAAACACAAACGTCCATCAGAAATTACTAAGAAACGGTGATTGGAATGTGACCGAATTTACATTAGAAGGGTTAAAAGGGACATTTAAGAAAAGGCTTGGAGTGGAGACATAATGTGACTAATAAGGCAAAAAAGCATAAGGAAAATGGCTCAGTCCTGGAGTGGAAAATCAATTTGCCAGGAACACGGTAAGCCTGAAACATCACCTCCACATTTGGTAAGGATCCATTCTGAACAGTAATGTCTGCGGTGGAGCCTGAGTACAGGAGTGAATGGGTATGCCTGATAGCATACATAAGAAAAGCCAACTTTTTACAACAGAAAAGCCAACTACCACCCTGCAAACCAACAGAGAAGGAACAGAGTGCAGGACCATCTTTCATATTTTAAAATGGACTGAACGTTCAATAAGTCAAGAGCTTTACTCTGGGAAAGCCAATATTTCTTTTTCACCCCAATGTTTCCAGGATGGCTTCTAGTAAATATAGCTTGGTAAGGGGGATAAATTCAGAGCCACGGAGTGTAGTAAATATACCCTAGATGTTTATGTTGCAAAAACCAGGAGAATGAGGTTATTTATTTCTTCTTTCAGAGAAGTAAGGGAGCAATAAACTATCCCTTGTACATCATAATGGCTTCGAACACGAAAAAGTTCTTTGATGACTACGAAGCAGGAAAAATCTCACAGATTGTTTATTCTACTGTAAAAACTGACCTATAAAGAGAGGATAAATTTTTGATGCACTCCTAGCCCATTCTGTTGCCTCTTAAACACGTCTATCTTGTTTTTTGTAATGTTTAATGTATTCTAATTTGTCAATCCATCGGTCAAAAATAGGTTTACTTTGCAACAAGGGCCAAATCATTTTTAAACCTGTTGCATAGTCTATACAACTTTTTTCCTAAAGTTATTCCTTTCTTCCCGTTCCCGGGTGTTTACTGGCTCTTTATGCACCAGAGTAGGTATTTCAGGTGTTTGGGGTTTTTTCCCCCCCCTTTTTCTGGATATATGGAAGCTTATTCATTTCGACATTATTTGCCTAACTATAAACTAGTTCTGTAGACCTCGAATTGAATTTCACTCTCTCTTGGAAGATAACATGGTGACTCCACGTTTTAGCTTACAGGGGTGACTCGCGCAGGTTTCGGGTACGCAAAGAGCGGGTGCCTTTAAGAGCAGCCGCGGTAATTTTCCAGGTCCTGCACAGCCCCGCCCACGCGGCAGGCCGCAGGGTGCGGCGGACTGCGGCTGCGCGGCGGGCGCGCGCCTCCCGTTGCCTGGATACCGCCTCCTCCACCCCCGGCCCCCGAATCCCTTTTGTTTCCAAGATGGCCTCCGAGTTCTGTCTTAACGCGCGCGGAACAAAGCCAATTGAACACCCTTAAGCTTAGCGGAAAGCAAGAATTGTATGACTGGCGTTAAGAGTGTTTGTTGTCAAGAATTACTGTTATAACTTTACAAAAATCCTCTCTGTCGGGTTTTCTGGATGGGAGAGAAATCCGGGATCGCCCCAGGGCGTGTGAGCCATGGTGTCTTGGTCCTTTGGCTTCGGAGTTGGGGATACCTTCCTTTCTTTTGATATGAATTGTTGTTTCCTGTTACACTAGCTCAGGCAGAAGTCTTTTCAAATTTAAACCAAACTATGGCGCTCAATGTTAAAGACCATATAATCAATAAGGGTAATACCTTCTGGCCACATCCGCTCTCCTTTAAGAATACCTGTTGATTTTTCTGTTTTTCTTTTTCCTGAAAGGTTAGTTTAAACCCAGATTCATCATATTTTAAGATGGTAAATGCCTCTGGGGATGGAAATTGTGTTTTATTCATCTTTATGTTCCAGAGGCGTTTCTGTCTATAACAAATCTTGGAATAATGTGGCTAAATAATTCTAATTAACTTTTGAGGGTTTTTTGTTTTTTGTTTTTTTACTACGCCAAGCACTGTGCTATGAGGTGGGTACTATGAGATAGCTTTTCTCTCCCGTTTTACAGGTAGGGAAACTAAGGCACCAGGAGGTCAAGTCGTTGCTGGAAGCATCACAGCTAGTAAATGAGGGAAACGGAGAGTCCAGCCCACACAGTGTAAGGAGAGCCTGCGCCCAGGCTGCCGCCTCCAAAAACACTGCGGGGAGTCCGTGATGTCTTCTAATTGCAGCACTTTCAGGGACAAGCGTGTAAGTGTCTTTCCCTGAAATAATGTTCCTCTTTGCTGTGAATAGACTTTTCACACTTGTATCAGTCAGGGCATTTAGATGCTTACCAGACCCCGAGCTGGAAGACACAGACTCACCCAACCTTGGTGGCAGGTGTTGGGGAAATAAAATTAAAAACCAAAATCTCCTGCCAACACAAAGAAATCTCTGCACAAGCAGAAGCAAAAGAGAACAGTCTCATCATTGAATGAAGAAAGCATCAAACTGAGATAGGATGTGCCTCACATCAATCCACTGATAATGGAAGGACAGAAAGAAATTTCACCCTTTTGCACAGCTAAGCAGATATACCCTATCACATACCTGTTCTCAGAATAACTAGTTACAAGTAAGAGGACTCGGAGGCACCATTTGACATACAGAGTTCATCTTCAACTCACCTTGACAATTGGTAGCTGGAAATCTGTGTTAGCTAATAAGCATTATCCAAAGGAAAAAGTACACTTACACCTTTATGATAGGAGGTGAGTTTGCCAGTTGGAACCAGGAACCTGAGTTAGACTCCTGTGCTCCCACAGAAATAGGGATGCTGATTACATTTCCAAGAGATGGCTCCCAGGTCATTCCGGGGTTGTATAAAGGGCGAGAGCCTTATTTACCTTTTAAAAAGGTTTATGTGCTTCTCAAAGGGGCAGAGAGTTTATAATCATAAAATTTCTTTTATTTTTTTAGAAATAAGTTTATTGTCACATTGGTTTCCATATAACACCCAGTGCTCATCCCCACAAGTGCCCTCCTTCATGCCCAAATCCCTCCCCCCCCCTACACCCATCAGTCCTCAGTTTCTTCTCATCATTCAAGAGTCTCCCATGGTTTGCTTCTCTCCCTCTCCCCCACCATTTCCCCCCTTACAATCATAAAATTTCTTTTTTTTTTTTTAATTTTTTTTTTTTAATGTTTTATTTATCTCTAGGAGAGAGAGAGACAGCGTGAGCAGGGGAGGGTCAGAGAGAGAGGGAGTCACAGACTGAAACAGGCTCCAGGCTCCAAGCTGGCAGTCAGCACAGAGCCCAACGCGGGGCTCGAACCCACGAACCGCGAGATCATGACCCAAGCGAAAGTCGGACGCTTAACCGACTAAGCCACCCAGGCGCCCCCAATCATAAAATTTCTAAAGTAAATGCTTTACTTTAGGCCCCCCCCCCCCTTCTGTACTAGGGAGATTTATTTACTTAGATTTATGTTGACCCTGACATCAGATCCAGAGACAACTCAGGTCAGCTCTTCCAGTCAAGGAGTCTACTTGGATTCAAATTTTCACCCCAGCAGCCCACCTTTTCACACAGACATAATAATGAGTCAAATAGTAGGAAGCCAGGAGAAGCATGTTACCTAATGCTGAATGTTAGGGTTTCTATTTTAATTCAAATTCTTACTTCCTGGTTTCTTTGAAATTACATGTAATTTCCAGCAGATGCTGAGTGAATTTACATGCTGCACTGGACCATGAAAATGTGTCTAAGAACTGCCAGACAGACAACTGACTTTCATGTGCTTTTGAGTTCAGTCTTAGCTTTTCTGTCTTCCCTCTTTGTTTTACAGCCTTGGACATGTCTGACAGGGAGGACCTCCCCCTCCCCCACCCTCTTGAGTCCACTCTGCCCGACCTCAGCTTCTTTAACAAAAGGCTCTGGTTGCTTGTGGCCTCCATGTGCCTTAGCATGTGGTGATACCTGACACTGGGCCTCCTTCCTTTATGTTTTTCTTTGAGTTGCTCAACAAGCAAGATAGCATGGCATACATTCTTTCTAGAATCATTCCCTGACCGGCCTCCCTGACCACTAACCTGCATCTGACTTGATCTTCCCTGGGCACATATAGACATGGGTCTCTAGTCATGTTTAATGTATTAGTCCATAAACTTCTTGAGATCGAAGATCTTTTTTTTTTTTTTTTTTAAAGTTTATTTTTGAGAGAGGGAGAGAGAGAGTGTGTGTGAGCAGGGGAGGGGTAGAGAGAGAGGGAGACACAGAATCCGAAGCAGGCTTCAGGTTCTGAGCTGTCAGCACAGAACCTGACATGGGGCTCTGTCTCAGGAACCCTGAGATCATGACCTGAGCTGAAGTCAAGAGCCAGCCATCCAGAGACCACCACTTTAGACAGGACAGGAGCTCTCACTCTGCCTCAGCCTTTGCTACTTCCTGTCGCTTGCCCAGTGAAGCTAAGTATGAGGTATCATTGATAGTGAGTGCGCACTGATATTTTTCTTGGAGTAAAGTACGTCTCAGTACCGAAAGAGAGGGAACAAGACTAAAGAATAATTTTTTGAGGATAATGGGAGAGAGCCCATTTCGTGGGAGAAGAGTTGCCTTTGTCCTGATTAGGCACATAAAATAGGCCTGTCTCTCTTTTTCTTAAAATCCACCTGCTTTGCTTATTTACATTCTGTTCCTGGCCACTACAGATATTTGAGTTTTTGACCTGTAGTGTAGTCAAGCTATTTGAAAAAGGGAGAGAAGAAAGGAAAAATAAAGCTCAGCAGTTGGTTGGGATTCCAAACTTTGTGATCCAGCTACTCAAACAGACTTTCCAATTTACCACCTTTATCCAGTCTTTCAGGTTCCCCCTGAACATTGATCTCTTCTGACATTTGCTGCGGATCCGTCGGGTGTGCACGTGATACTCAGATTCTGACAGCAATTTAGCGAAAACCACTGAAGTAGATTCATACATCTGCCCTCTCTTCCCGATGACTCCACAGGCATAGATGGTGCAGGACAAAAAAGTTCACTTCGTGCAGGTAATTGGTTTTCAGAGGCTTAATCACAGCACTTTAAGATAGATGATGTTTGATGGATAGAGCTGATAACTATTTTGTACAATTTCCTAATAGGAGACAATTGTGAGTCCTGTTGCAGTCTGTGTTTACATATCACAACGGGCATCTAAATACACATTAACTTTTCTCTCTAAACACCAATGAGATAAGTTATCACTGATATGGGTACAAAGTAGAGGGATATTGATATTCCGTCTTACATAAAACTGATCAAGATAACAAAACCATGCTTAAGAAACTTCAAACATTGGGGGCGCCTGGGTGGCTTAGTCAGTTAAGCATCCAACTTTCGCTTAGGTCATGATCTCTCGGTTCGTGGGTTCGAGCCCCGCGTTGGGCTCTGTGCTGACTGCCAGCTCAGAGCCTGGAGCCTGTTTCAGAGTCTGTCACTCCCTCTCTCTCTCTGACCCTCCCCTGCTCACGCTGTCTCTCTCTCTCCTCTAGAAATAAATAAAACATTAAAAAAAATTTTTTTTTAAAGAAACTTCAAACATTGTTTAATAGAGCTTTTATTTTCAAGGGAGAATTTTTAAATAATATTTCCTCATAAATTGTCATTGCTTAGATTTACGGTGTTTGAACAAGCATCCTATCCAGTTTAAATGGAGTAGAGGATCTTTCTGAACACCTTGAGTGTGTGTTGTCCTTTAATGGCATTATTAAGTTGGAATGATAAAATGCAAAGTACTCCTTTCTGCCCTGAATGTGCTGTGACATCATAAAATAAAGCTCAAGTCACCGGTCACCTTTTCCTTGCCTGGATTTTAAAGCCATTAAATTATTGTCTTGCCTGCCCATACCTGTCCTTTTCAAATGTGTAAAGCTACCAGGGCAGGGGTTGGTGGTGGGATCTGTTAGGGAAAGCCTCACAGTTAATTGGGGACATAGTCTGTCTCTAAGAACCTCCAATGTTCCTTTTAGGCCCACTTAAAAACAAGTGAAGGCTACACTGCAGGTGGTTCTGAAGGAGAAGGGTGCCTTCGGAGAATTTTACATTTGTTACACTCCTTGTGAAAGAGTTCTACGCACTTGGAGAAAAAAACAATAAGCTCTGCAAATTGCATTTCTTTAGGACCTGAGGAAAACTGAAGGAACCCACCACCCACTAGAAAGGACCTAAAAGCGAAGTTGGAGTCCTGAGACCCATGTTTTGTTGAAAAGACTCCATAGAGTGTGGGTAAGGTGGCTCTACTGCTGAGAAAATGGAAATAAATTGCCTCTTTCAGACCCTAGAGAGCTGCCCAGAAATTCACCTTTCATTCTGGGTTAGAAAATCCAAAGCACGTAGTAAAGTTTGTTTATTCTGTCATCCGATCACAGTCCTCCAGATATTCTAACAGCCGTGCTGGAATATGTTGTTGGCACAAGGACCGCACAATCTTTAGTAGCTAAGGAAGTTCGTTGGCAAATAGATTCCTTGTATGTGATGTAAAACCAGGCTCATTCAGAGAACTCCACGTTTACTTGTGGTCAGGTGTGAGAAACTGAAACTTTGATTATTGCTATTTCTCTAAGCATGCTGCAATAACTGTGTCCTGTCTACAAAACCGGAGAAATATTGAATCTTTGCAGGTTCTCATTAGCTTCAACAAAGGTAGCGCAAATATTTTGATCCCTCACTTTATTTTACGGCTACTGCCAATCAGGGGCACCTGGGTGGCTCAGTTGGTTAAGTGTCTGACTTCTGCTCAGGGCATGATCTTGCTGTTTGTGGGTTTGAGCCTTGCGTCAGGCTCTATCCTGACAGCTCAGAGCCTGCAGCCTGCTTCAGATTCTCTCTCTCTCCCTCTCTCTCTCCCTCTCTCTCTCTCTTTCTCTCTCTCTCTCTCTCTGCCCCTCCCATTACGGGACCAGGCTGGATCGCTGATCCAAGCAGCACTTGGAGATCTTGGAGGATGGGAGATTCATTTACATCGATGGACTGGGGGAGACATTTTTTCCAAAGATCTGAGCCCTGATAATCTTACAGCTTCCACATTTGTGGTCAGTGGCTGTAAGACATAAACAAGCGATGGAAACGGGGGAGGAAGGAGTGGGCTTCAACAAACAGAGAAGGGCTAACATAAGAGTCTCGAGTGTGCCTACCAAGTTCCTTTTTCTTTTTAGGTCAGGGTTTGGTTTTTTCCCCCATCATTCCCCTCTTTGATGACTCTAAAAACCTTCCTTTTAGTAGGCATCATCTTTCTGTCTTATTGATTGATATCCTTGAAGGGCTAAGATATGCACTGAGGTTTGGCGCGTGACCGTGTTTTCAATGAAGCGCACCAGGGTGTTTAGGATGCGTGGGCCTATGGCTACAAGCAAGGTCATGGGAGAGGAGGGGTCGTACCAGTGCAGGGAGCCAAGTTGTCCAACTTGCAAAGTCCCATCCCTTTCAGAGCCTGTTTCCTTTTTGTTGTCTACGTTGAATTCTTTCTCTTAGCTCCCTGACTTTGGCTGTGATGACTCCTGACTGGTTGACAAAAATAACAGCATTCCTCTCCTAGAAGGATGCAAGTGCCTATCTTTTCTGCAATAAGGAGATCAAGGGTCAGCCTATTTTGTTTTTTTTTTTTTTGTTTGTTTGTTTCTTATACTTTTTTCTTTTTTTTTATTTTACAAATAGTTTATTGTCAAATTGGTTCCATAAAGCTCCCAGTGCTCATCCCCACAAGTGTCCCCCTCCATGCCCATCCCCCCTCCCCCCCACACCCATGAGTCCTCAGTTTTTGTCAGCATTCAAGAGTCTCTCATGGTTTGCCTCTCTCCCTTTCCCCCCACCATTTCCCCCCTTCTTCTCCCCCATGGTCCCCAGTTAAGTTCCTCCTAATCCTCCTATACGTGCAAACATGTGATATTTGTCCTTCTCTGCCTGACTTATTTCGCTCAGCATAACACCCTCAAGGTCCATCCACGTTGCTTCACATGGCCAGATTTCATTGTTTCTCATTGCCATGTAGTATTCCATGGTATAGATAAACCACATCTTCTTCATCCATTCGTCCGTTGATGGACACTTAGGCTCTTTCCATGTTTTAGCTATTGTGGAGAGTGCTGCTATGAACATTGGGGTACATGTGCTCCTATGCATCAGCATTTCTGTAAATTCCTAGCAATGCTATTGCTGGGTCCTAGGGGAGTTCTATTGTTAGTTTCCTGAGGAACCTCCACACTGTTTTCTAGAGGGGCTGTACCAGTTTGCATTCCCACCAACAGTGTAGGAGGATAGGGCCAGCCTATTTTGGAGGGATACTGCTGCCAGGGAGCATATCAGATTTTGTAAGGCCACCAGAGAGTCGGCTACCCGTTCCATGTCTTCATGTAGTTCCTGGGATAGCTCGTGGTATAGTCTTACAGAAGAGCCTGTGCCTCCTATCCTGGTTCCTTTCCACATAGCAATTCCTGTCCCTTTTAGGACAGGTAGCAGAACTGCTCACGTAGCCCGGGGCTTAGGGCTAAAGGCTGCCAGGAACTGGTCTCCAGTGAATACAGAATCTCAGTGGGGGTGCTGGTGGGGGGGGTTAGGAAAACTAGCACACCTGAGTCCAATTGGCCTGTAAGCATCGATAGACTGTATTGGAGCACAGGCAGAAAACCCCGGGAGGCGATCACAGGGTTTCATTTTTATCTATGGTTATGTTTTTCCTGCGTAGGGAGGTCCCGTCTGTATCCTCAGGGAGTATGAAGTTAGATGATCAGCATTTGTGAGACGGACCCCAGTAGCCAAGGGCCCAATTAAGACAGTGACATTGGTTGTGAGATTTTCAGGAGCTTCCCTGCGGCAGAAAGGCAAACACATCCCTCAGGTCTGGGTGGTGGTGTTAATGCCATGGAGTATCTGGTAGGTGGTGTTGGCCAAGCACCAGAGTAGGGAATAGGGTATCATTTGATGAAGCGCTAAGAGGTTCAGGCCTCGGTAGGGTGTTGGAGTGGTCGCCTATATGGCTGTACCAGCTTGGCCTGTGTATTTTTTATAACCTTTTGAAGGGCCTTATCCTGTACCCATCCCCCATCTGACACTCCCAAGTGGGGAAGGTAAGTAAAGCAGGCTTTCTTCCCTTCTGTAAGGCCCTTGATTTTGCAGAGTCCGTCTGTTTTGATAATCTCTGCAGCCCAAAACTTACGTGCCCCAGCATCCTGTGACTGGCAGACAAAGGCCTCTGCCTCTTTGTAACATTTTCTGTTGAGGGAGGTGAGGGAGCTGGATGCTCTTGTCTTCTCTGACTTTCCTCTAGTTACCATCTTATAACAATCCTCAGGGCATTGTGGGTATGCAGTGGTCGAGAGGGTGAGAGATGTTAGCATAAGATACAAGCATTACTTAACAGCCCTCCCATCCAGAGGAGGTAGGTGGGACCCAGCATAAGCTTTTTGTCCCATGTCCAGTCTGTTGGGGCAACTTCTGCTAGTCTGATGGTAAGAAACCAGGCAAGGGGCAAAGGTTGACAGAGTTGCTTGAACAGGGGTGTTAAGGACGGTCCAGTTAATCTGTCGAATCCTCAAGCTTCTGCCGTGCTCAGACCAGCCAGCTTCCAGGATGTGGCTGGAGCAGGGCTGAAGGTCTCAAGAGTCGGAGGCTCCCGGAGGGTTAGTTTGAGAGATTCTGCTGGGTCTGGGTCAGCTCTCCAGGTCGGAGACTCCTCAGGACTGGTTCTCTTGACTCTGGAATGGTGAACCCACGGGGTGATGCCTGAAACCTTAAGGGCGGTAGAGGCGGTTAAGATGACAATGTGTGGCCTGGTCCACTGTGTTTCTTTTTCAGGTCCTTGACCCAGACTGAGTCTCCTGGCAAGAAGAGATGTACTGGGGACCCTAGGGAAATTGGGGCCCTCTCTATGGTATATCTTTGGAACTCATTTAGGGTAGTCTCGAGGGCCTGAAGCTGTTGCTTTTTTCATTTATCCCCAACCTGCCAGGCACATGGGAGACCACCCATGTAGTAACTCGAAGCGGGAGAAACCTAATGTCCCGGGTGTGCAGTGAGCACGTAGGAGAGCTAAGGCCATGGGAGGCTAGTCTCTTGACAGAACTTTGCTGAGGTTTCTCTGAGGGTGCGATTCACCTGCTCTACTTTTCTACTGGGCTCTGGGCCCAGTAAGAGGTGTGGAGTTTCCAGGTACTGTTGAGAGATTTAGCCAAGATCTGCATAATGTTTGCCTCAAATGTGGGTCCATTGACACTGTGAATTGTTAAGGGCAGGCACAAGTTGGGGGAGAAGGGAGGCGCGATTTCCCACAGGAGGACTTTAACCTCTTCTCGGCTGGCTTCGTTCCATCCTGGTCGGGAAGGCTTCGACCCATTTAGAGTGTATGCACACTATCACCAGGAGGTATCTGAACCCCTTGCTTGGCTGCGCATCTGTGAAGTCTATTTCTAGATCTTCAGAGAGGGTAGCTCCTATTCTTTGGACGCCTGGTGGGGGCCATCATGCAGACCGAGCATTGTTTTTAGCACATATTATGCATTGTGCACTAGTAGGTAGCTCGGCATAGCGAGCTGGCTGATGTAGTAGTGGTTTTTGAGGAGGACCTCTAATGCAGTCTTTCCTAGATGAGTGAGTTGGTGATACTCCTTGACTGGGTGCCCCCTGTTGCTGATGGAAGGAAGACACACCCATCAGGCATAACCCATCATCCCTTCTCAGTCAGGGTAGCCCTTCTGCCGCGGCCCATTTTCTTTCTTCTCCAGTGTAACTGGGTGGAAGGGTTTTTACCGGAGGCATCAGGGCCATGGCATAGGAAGGAGCCCTGTCTGTGTCCTTGCAGGCTGCGGCCAAGGCCGCTTCATTTGCCAGGTGACTTCCCCATGCTGTGGGGTCATCTCCCTTCTGGTGTCCCTTACAGTGCAGGATTGCTATTTCCTGTGGAAGCCAGACGACTTCGAGGAGTTTTAGTACTTCTTTCTTGTTTTTGATAGCTTTCCCTGCGGCATTGAGGCACCCCCTTTCCTTATAGATGGCCCTGAGTATGTGTACAGTAGCAAAGGTGTTATGGAGAGTCAGTGTAAATGTTAGCTCGTTTGCCTTCACTGAGGGTGAGAGCTCAGATGAAAGCATATAGTTCAACTCGTTATGCTGACTACCCTTCTGATAACGCCTTGGCTTCTAAGACTTCAGTAGTTGTGGTCACTGCATAACCCACTTTTTGGGCACCCTCCTGTAAATAATTGCTACCTCTGTTAAACAGGATGAGCTCTGGATTTCTTATAGCTTGGCCCCATGGATCTGGGCGGCTAGTGTGGACTTCATCTGTTATTTCAGAGCAGTCATGGTTGGGTTCCCCCTCTTCTGTGGGGAGGAAAG